GATAAGAAAAGCAGAGTAAATGCAAAAATGCTGGAGCTTGCTGGCCTGTCTTATGCTATCCTGCTTAGGCTCCATTTTCCATTTGTTTTTTGTGGAATCAGCTCAGTGACTTTCACTTTAAGCAGCAGGAAGTAAACACTACATACTTTGTTCAGCCAGAAATAAATCTGAATTTTAAAGTCTCTGAACTCTAAACCCTCAGCTGGATGGTTCTAAGAAATTATTGACTGAGTGCCAGTTGTATATGGTTCCATCCACGTTGGAACTGTTTTTTACAATGTTTTTATATCATATGCCCTTTAAAGTTTTCCTTGACCTGTGTCTCGGAAGAAAAAGTATTTCTTTGTTTAAAAAATATCATAAACCGCTACTGATTTTCAAATTATAATGTGGTGGTTATACAGAACTGTTAAGTTCTGTAGGTATTGTCAGATTCAAATGTATCATTTTAAGCTGAGTACAAAGAGGGTGGCGGTGGCTCAAAGGCTGGTTCAGTCTTAAAGAGAACTGCCTCACAGGCAGCTGAGTCCTACCCAGATCTTCCTAAAGTTGATGGAAAAAGTTCTCTGTATCCACACAGTGACTTCTAAATTTCTGTCCTACATACACAGACATTAATATTTATGTGGGCCTTTTGAAATCAAATGGACTTGAGAAAGAGAGACCATACCATTTGGAATAGATTGTCATAGCAGGGATTTACCTATATTTTATATAAAGGCTAGCATTCACTAGGTGCTACAATGGTAGATGTTATTTCTCTTCAAGGATTTCCTAAAAATCTTTGTTATACAAACTTTCTGATAGGCCAGAACTCACTTGTGATGAACTAATCATGTGGTACTTTGCAATGTCAAAAATTTTTAACATTTGATGCACTTTCAGTTACTTCTGGAAGCAATGAATGGAGTATCAGTGTGCTTTTGGCATTTAGTAGTAGTGACCTGGAGCTATATAACAGGAGTGCATTACTTTAAAAGAATTTCGGATAACTGCTTATGAAAATTTCTTCCATGAAGGAACGCAAAGACAACTTCAAGAGGGCTTAGAAATCTATTCGGCTTGTCTGCTGGGGGACTTGGCTGTTCATCAGTCTCTCTTTTATACTTCTGGTTCTGAGAAATGTGTTTGCTTCTAGTCATGTAAAAACAACTCCCTTTGTGTACTTCCATGAGATCAGTACAGATGCATTCTTATAGTTCAGTAAAGTTTCTTTGACAGCCTGTTGAAAATGTAATTGCTGAATCATCACTGCCTGTCCATTATGAGTAAATCCCTCTTACCTTTTGAACAACATGACTCATTTTGAAGGATACAAAAGGTATTTATTATTGTTATTGCTTCTTGACCTAAGTGGTTATCCTGAGTTTGCGATCCTTCAGACTGTTTCTGTTGGAAAAGAAGCTCATGATAAGAGTGGGGGATCTCTGTACAGAACTGCATTGAAGAATGTATGAAGATACAATTTTGTGCTCATAGGAGTTTCTGAACAACAACAAGCAAATTCTTTTGCCTGTGGCACCACCAGATTTCAATACAAAATGTATGGAAGACTTTCTAACAACCATTCTCCTAGAGCTATTTCAGGCTATATTTCATGTTTTCTTGCTCTTTTTTTCCTACTTCTTGTGTTTCTCTTGTTTCTCCCTTATAGAAAGGTAGATAGATATTTCCCGAAATCACCCCTTCCTAGTGCGTTTCAAATCATTGCAGTTTCACATGTAGCTTTGGAGTGATTGCACATGCTTGCACTGTAATTTGGAGGCTCTCTTGTTTAATTTATCTACAAGACATTTGTTTCAATAGCCTAATGGAACTTAAACCCATGAAATTACTATTCTGTAGCAGCTTGGAAGAAAAGAACATGGTGCCTGTGAATATTACCTGGACCAACAGCTCAGGTTTAACATTAAGAAAATTCAGCCTCTTTTCCTTCTATTTTAGATGTTCTGACTTCTTCTGTCCAGACCATCAACCTTGCTATCATATCAGATTCTTTTTGCTCTATGTCCTGGTTACAGATTTGTCTGACAAGTCTACAAATCGTCTCTTTTCTGTGCACTGACCACCTTGTTTGAATAATCACTTACAAAATGTACTTTTGAAAGCATATCAGTTCTAGGCTCCAAAAGAAATTAAGTGTGGAAAGGAGGAAAATTATGCTGCTGTGAGACTGCTTCTTCAGACAATATGGAGTATACAAAGCTTCAGCAGAGTTATAGATCTCCATATTTCACACCACTCAGATTGCATGATGGGGGAGTTCATGTAAAGCCAACAACTAGAAATTAATCCCTGCAAAACTAGAGAGATTGTGCAGATCTGAGTGGTCAAGCTCTCTCCTTTGTGTCTATTCTGGCAGAATCAACCAGATGACCCATCCAGAAGCCTAGGTGCTTTACTGTCATACTGCTGGCTGATGAGGACATGCACAAAGTGTTAAAATGTTAGTTTTGTGTAGTATCCTGAGATAAAAAACCACCTTCTTGAGAGCCAATCTCCACACAGCCTTCCCCCATTCCCTGTACTACCTCTCTCAGTTTCTTCCCTCCAGTTTTTCACTTGTACCACCACTCACCTCTTCGCCTTTTTCTTCTCTTCCCCCTGCTTAGATCTCAGCTTAGTGCAAACAAGTGCCTTAACTAAGTCTGTTTGTGGTCTGGCCCTATCTCCTTCCCAAGCCCCCTCTAAGCTTTAATTACTGTCATAGTCTTTGGCTCTATCATAAATAATCTGTAAAGCATCCAACTCATCCTTTGCTCTTTCTTTTTACCCTGTATCACACAACTCTCACTAGCATATGAGTGCTTTAACCCCCTGCCCCACTCTCTGTGTGAGCCTTCGTTTCACTTACCAGGAGGCAGAAAGGTGGTCTAAAGAGGGCCAGGTTTGGATACCCTTGCTTTTATTCCCTGGTGGGCTAGAAGGCTAGGACTTGATTGTGGGAATCATGAGGCAGAGGAATACGCAGTATTCATATTGCAAGATGAGACAGTTTGGCCAGACAGTGGTGGTTTCCTCTCTTGTTTCAGGCCATGACTCAGACTAAGCCAGAATTACAGAATGTGTGATGGAAATTGCAAATTGGATGGCTATAGGCCAGTTAAATCTGTAACTCGGTCAGTGAGAGTGCCCCACCTGCCTGAGGCAGATGATATATTCTTTGCAAGGACTTTCTGTGTTTTGTATGATAATGAAAATCAGCCAGAATCAGAAAAAATAAAATATATGCCTTTCTAAACAGCCCCTAAACTGCAACTTCTTGGCACTGTCTGGGTCCTGCTGGACAGTGGTAGTTACTACATTTCAGACAGAAAAAAAAATAATATTTTTGAGCAAATGGATGTTGAAACCCGTATAAAATGTTGTGGATGAGTCTATTTTTTTCCTTATATTCTCAATCCTGTAATTATATCAGAGGTAAATCCTATTGTCAGTGGAATTTTCACCTGAGGAAGGATTTTGTAATAATAGTTTATGCAAGGCACATTTGGAGCAAACAAATGCTGACCATTCCTCTTCTCTACTGCAGGGTAATTGTGTTACAGTGAAAGGCTTTTAACTACAAAGCTGACTGAATTGCTCAACCCCCCTAGGAGACATTCCTGAAACATGAATTTCAGTCTGGCACGCTGAACGCACCATTCCTGCAGCTGCTGCTATTGCTGACCAGATCTTCTGTAGGAGAAGATCACTTTAAGGCAGTAGTGGCAAGGCAATCCTCTGAGAGTGTGGGAAAGAATGGTGCTGCTTCGGAGCCTGAATGGCATTGATTAAAAGCTTCAGCATAGATTTTAAAAATGGCATAAGAAGTAGCAGTTTTATACACAAAACACCCATTTATGTAATAAGAGTTACTGACTGTCATTCTGCTCACCACAGCCTTCTAACTGCTACAGTGTTCTGTTAATCAGAGTAATAGAATAAAAAAGGATGCACTTTCTAATTTTTCAGGCTAATTTCAAACGCCATATCAATTAAATTCTGTCATATACTATGCTACTCATAGTGATGATCAACTGTGCATCAAAGATTGCCTTTTCTCAACAGTGTCTGGTTTATATATTTGTTTAATGAACATATACATGAAAAGGTGCTTATTACAGAATACCTGTCATAAGTTTGATTTATTCTTATGAAAGCATAATGTTGGCACTAAGTTCCTGGAACCTTTTACTTTTAATTTTGATGCCCTGTCCAAAAGAAATGAAGAGGCCCTGTTAGAGTTCTAATTTTCTTCCGAAAAATAATACAGAAACACACTTCAAGTAATATTTTTCTCTTACTCTAAATAGCTGAATACATAAGGAAAGGACACAAGACTTAGAGTCTTTCTATGGATACTGTCTCTTACCATCTCTTTATCTGATACCAATTACTAAATTTCCTTTGTGCTTTCCCAAACTGAGTTTACTCTTTAGAAAGTTCAAATTAGAATTTTAAATGTTATCAGTGCAATTTAGGCAGCCTTGTTCTGCTCCAAACCTTCCTCTTCCTGCCTGGGGTGACCACTTTCTGAGCAAAGAAGAGTCTTTCAAAGAACTAGTACTAGGGCACAGCTCTTTAGACAGTAAAACTCAGTAAACTGACAACAGGGTTTTAATTCCTCATTGTATCATTTGTGTACCAGCATGTTTGTGTGATTAATCTTTTCTTCTGTTCAGGAAAAGGTAGGTGCAAACCTAAACAAAACAATGGGAGACAGGATACTTATAATAAAGTGACTCATCTCTTTTTGATCAGTGGACTGAGATGAAAAACAAAAGGTTTCCAAAGCCTCATGACACACACACCCACTATCCTCCTTCTCTGAGGGTATTTCAAAGAACAGTATTGCATGAGAAAATCCCTAAAACTGTTTAACAACATCTTTCACACGATCAACTCCAAGTGCACTCAGGGCTGAATATTGTTCTGATAAGCAAAACATTCTAATGCACAGGATTTTAAGGTTGCGTTGGAAGATAAATTGATTGGCAGGGCAGTTTCAGGACACTTACCCGCTGTTGCAAGGTCACAAAGTCCTACAGGATGGAACAGTTCATCCATGCTCACAGGAACATAGGTGCCTCAACAGCCTGAAAGAGAGAAAATGGGAGAAACGACAGTTTCAAACTGGAAGTCCACAACAAAAGTATTAGAAATACAGGCTAATAAAGGATCAGGCTATGGAGCCAGGGGCATGGGAAATACTCTGAATGAAGGAAACTCCTGACACATGAGAGAAATACATTTTTTATGATGAGGCTGGGATCAAGCGAGTTCTCTACAGCTTGGGGAGGGGCTGTTATAAATGTAATGGGCTTTGTTCTGGTGCTGTAACTCAGGGAGGACTCTGATCTATGATACTTGCAAGGAATTATAAATATGTTTAAATATTCATGTAGTCTATTAAGGCACTTTTATTTTGTCATTTCCTCTGAGAATAAAATCACACTTTATTTGCTGTTTATTTTAAAAGATCCTTCAAGAACATAGCATAACTACTATGAAAATCTGCTTTTGTTCATGCCGATTTGGACTCTTGCAGATTTGTATGGCAATAAACAGCTGTCTTTACTGGGATACTGGATGTGATCTCAAGGTGTGAATTGTAACTGCATCCTCATTCAACTCAGGTGTGAGACCTGAGCACTGTTTCTGCCTGGAGCTCTAACTTTCATGAACAGAAAGCCTTTAGCCTGTGTGCCAAAAAGTAGCATCAAATGGTCCAAACAGGTCTCAAATCCAGATGATGTGGACTCAGATCATGTGAAATGTTGCTGTCTATACCTGTCAGGTACAAACAAGCTGTGTGTTTTCAGATGCCTTCAGAATGGAAATAAATAAATAAATAAATCTGTTCAGGGCTTAACACCTAGAAGATATTTAGCTTTAAAAGTTAGATTTTGAAAAGTAGGAACTTCTGAAACTCTTTATTGATTGGTCTGATTGATAGACAAGAAAACTGAAAAACATTTTGCTGCATCTCCCTTGCTCTCTTTCCAAACAGGTTCAGGATATCAAGTACTCAGGTTCTGGGCTGTATCAGGAAATCTGCCAGGTCTCACATGTTTCTTCTGCTTTCAAGCCTAGTCAGAGTGATACCTACTTTTCTCAAGCCCGTTGAATGACACAGGTACACGTTGCAGGAACACAAAGAACATTCTGACTGGTGGGATTATTTCTAACCTAAATGTGGCTCTTGGCTGAAGTAGAACTTTTATTGCCCTGAGAACAAGTCTCCAAAAAGCTGCTGGACTACAACTAAGGAGGAGGATGACAGCCTGAAGAGAACACTAGGCTTATAATTCTTGTATTTTTCATTTACACTGTTTACAATTCTGAAAGCTCCTTGTCTTGTTGGCAGGTCTCTTTAAGATCTCAGCCAAGAAGCAGTATATTTAGTTTGCTTTTGATGAAGCTCTTTTTGCCTGCAATAACATTTAGGGGATGTTAGCTCATAAAGGTAGATCTGAACTCTTTAGGAACTATCATGTTAGGTACCTGTCTTACAGAGGTACAGTGACAAGGATAAAAATAGCACAGAAAGGAATTGTCCTCTCCTAAATATAAAAAAAATCTGTAACTGAGAAATCTTATAGTGATATCATGTGTGTAGCCCATACAAATGTGATTAATATATACTGAGGGAAGGGCCTGTATAAGGTTAATTACTATGCCTCAGGAACATGCATTATCCAAAAGAGAACGGAGTAGCTGTATACCGCTGGGGCTCTCAGCGAGCTAATCAAAATACATGTAGGTCAGCACTAATGTGAGATTGCTCCTAGGACCCAAGATAGCTCAGGTGTCTCATTCTGTTGTACATTCTTTTAAAGAACTATTTTAAATAGTTACTACCATTAGTTAAAAAGGGATTTTTTTTTTATTATTACTAAAAAGTGTATCCCTTTTCAGTGAAACTCAAAATGGTACCTTTTCAATGTGTGTTAAAATACGAAAATGTAAACTAACTTTTTTAGATGGCCAAAACAGATATTTTTAATTTATGTTTTAAAAATTTAGTTATTTTTTAAAATCTGAAACGGTGATAAAAATTGATATAAAAATTCAAACTCCATAACTCGTCCAAGAAGTAATTATAATAGCAAATTCAAGGATTTACATGAACATTTTTTTGAATGCTCATTCTGTACCTTGACTATTTGGGAAAAGAGGTACAGTATTCTTCATACATATTGAAGTGGTGAAGGTGGAGACATTGTCTTTGCTTTCAAAGTGCTCAGCATATTTTAATAAGGTGGTGAAATACAGTCATATGTGCAGGCATATTTCTTTTTCAGTTGAAAATCTTACCTGTTTCCATTTGAAAAAGATGAAAAATGTCTACCAGAGATCCTCAACAATTACACAGTAGCTGTACATTGCATATTTTCATATGAGAATATATGTATTTTTCCACACAACAGCTAATTTGATGTGACATCAGTGAAAAGCAAAAGAGACTTCTTTTGTGATTTTAATGACCTCTTGCTTTTTACAGAAAGCACCTAACAGGTACAACTCTCTTAAAATTCCCATAATATTGGCATTATGAAGTTTTCTAACTTGGACTTTGCACATCTTTCAAGGCAGCAACTCACAAAGTTGATAACTTCAGTTGTGCTTAGAATTTTGGACTCAGAAGTAAATTTCAGGTGCAGCCCCCATTTTTTCCAGTGGAGTTGTGAACTTATGATACTTCTTATAAACCCACTGGTGACTAGTAGCTTAAAAGGGTGCTTACTTGTCTAGAGACAGAAACTGAGATATTGGTGTAGATTGTAGAAACGTATAATTTCATGTGGAATGACTCATGAGATAATTAGCATGGCATTCTCATGGAATGTGTATTATTGGCCGACTAAATCTCTTTATACTTGAGAGGTGTAGAAAAATTTTGACTTCTCAATAGATGCCTACACATCTCAGTTGTGTAAACCAGTGCATCCTGCCCTGAGAAAAGCTGCTTCCTGTATAATGCTCAATGCTCTATCAGAATTCCTAGCTCGGGACTGAGTTGAACAATAGCTCTGCTACCTTCCTTCATCCACTGAGACCCAGAGAAAGTGGAGAAGGAACAGGATTAGTAGGAATGGAGAAACAGCAGGACAAACATTTTGCATAACATACTGCCTTAAAGTCACAGTAGATGTCCACAGAAGTTCACATTGCCAATACTACTATATCATTGGGAAGAAGGCTTTTTGACCTTGTTCAAGTGATGGGTTACTGCGTTAGGCACAGATGTAAGTCTGTATTACTGGGATAGTAGCACTGCCACTGCCTGTGAAGCTTTCCTTCTAAACCTCTAAGCAAAAAGCCACTTTCAGTTTTATAAAGAAAAAATGTAACTGAAAAGCTTTTATTTAATTTTTTCCTTATCTTCTTCTCTGTATAATCATGTGAAACTATTTTAAGTTTTTGAAAATGTTGTGCCTGGACTCAGCATTATCAAACTGTTCTACTAATTTCTGTGGTGAGGATGATTCCGTTTCATATCGTCTTTTTAAATTTTGATATATAACATGTTGCAGATTAGTGAAATTAAATCTAGACATTTTAGTTGCAGGGTGAGAGGGAGGCAGGCATGGGGTAAATCCTGTTTCCGAGTCATGAATAACTGAAGTGGTGTTTCTGTGTTGCTTAGTTACAGTTTCTAGTTAGTTGGCAATGGAGTTCACTGAAAATATTTTAGCTTCTGCTCCTGACAGCTACAAACGTGTGTTCACATGTAATCTTATAAAATCCAATACGGCTAAATGCATACCTAATATACCTCCTCAAATGTGATCAATGGATAGCATTGCCAAGTTGCAGAGTAAACACAGAACAGCATAGTCACACTCAGCTAATTACAAGAAGTTTTCACTGGTTGGTCCATTTCTTCAGCTGCTAATAGTCTGCACTGCCATATGCAGAACAAAGTTCAAGAGCAAACATGAACAATTTGCTAGTCTGGTTGGCAGAAGTACCAGGTAGTACTAATGGCCTCAGGAGACCAATGCTGACTTTAAGCCAATTTCAAACTTCTGCTCAGCCTCCCGTTTACCAAAAAAGCTACTTTTCCTTCCAGCCACACTGATAAGGGCAACATGCAGAAACCTGGTATATGACTAATGCTTACCAAGTGTTACAAGGCTTGAACAGAGGGAAGTATGAAACCTTGTGACCCTGACTCAGAATAGCCAAACTCCATCTGCTCTGGAGCTTCAAATGGTAAGAACACCCCTGTTTCTTACTGTGGACATGTCTGGAGGTAGAGTAAGGCGTGATGATGATTTCAGTCTTGCTCATTTTAAGTGCAAAATTTTCATGAAATTAATTGGAAAAAATATCTGTTCTTAACTTTTCTGGGAAGAATTAATTTTAAGAGATTAAGAACACTAAGATTTGAAGCTTAAGTGATGTGTTGGATTTAAATGCAGTTAGGAGCTTTAAAGTAACCGGTAGACAGAAGACTTGGTTCTACTGTCAGCTGAAGTAACCTTACAGTTCAGATAGCTGCAAGAACACAAAATGTAAATGCAGAAAACTGATCCATTCACAATGTATAGGCAAAAATGTATTATCACGAGGGGTTGAATGACATACCACACATACATGTTGTCAGGACTAAAATATCTCTGGAATTTTAAAAGTTCTCGGGGAGCATTTCAAAACTCAAGGAGTTGCATTCAACGCAGTGAAATTCTGTGAGATCCTATTTTGAAAAATAAAGAGGCACTAATCATAGTGTTTAAAATTAGTGGTAGCTTATCCTGAAAGGATCATATGATTACATTTTTATCTGCAGACGGAAACAGTGAGAACTACTTAAATATATACAGTTGGTAAACTTGTGGCTGAGACAATTTTAACAACATTCTCTAACTTGGAGTATGAATCATCTTTCACATAGTTTTGCACACTAAAACTGTGATCTTACAAATCATGATAAATTCAGTTGTTGGGTTTTTTGGGGTTGTTTGTTTTTTTTTTTTTTTTTTTTTTCTTACACATGACTTTATCTGGCAGGGAAAACTCAGAAACTGCAACTACAGAATCTCATAAAACTAGAGAAGAATGAACAGGTAGTATAGACTACAGCATATTA